TTTAGTAAAAAAAGGGCACATTCGCGTCGTAGCACAAGAGTTAGGCTACTATCTAGCACCATAGTCCTTTACAAACTAGCATTTGCTCAGCTAGTCAAGATATTCCTGGAAGTTTATGAAACTTGAAGCAGCCTATTATTTCTGAGTTCACAGAACACGCCACCGGATCGTATTAAGAACCAGAAGACTTAAATTCACACCCTCACGTTCTATTCTATTAAAGATTGCTGTTAACATTATCTTTCCATCTATGCCTAGTTTTCCAAACGGATTATTTTCTTCAAGTTTCTTATTTGTGTTACTGAAAATAGCCGAAATCCGTCTTCGATAGTTTTTCTTACGCAAAATCAGAAATTCACTATCAAAAGTTAGTTTAGGTTAGGACAGTTTATAAACTCCTAACAACGTCAGGAGTTTCTAGTTTTGCCCAGGACAAACTAGAGCAGACGGAGTTCAGATATTTCCAGCAACAAACGCATTTATCTCTCTCCCATGTCCTGATCATCTAGCGAACCTAACCTAAGATTCCAGATCTTGCAAATACGAAGCATGCACGCTGTTACATTCAAATTAACGTGATTTGCAGTACACATGCTTACGAATATTTTAATCTCTGTGCCGTGACTGACGTCATATCACCTTGCAAAATTGGTACAGGGGAGATTAAATGAAACAAAAACAAGGTTGAGGCTTCTTCCATAAGGCAATGCAAATGTCTGTCAACAATTTGGAAGCTTGTGACCGTCACCAGTGTTTAACAATGACGACACACTCGAGGTCAGTATAATTTAAAGGACAGGAACACGATAATTATAGCTTCAAGCCATTCAGTGGCGCTTGTGGTGTGACGCGTAATGGCATTTTGTACGTCCTAAGAATGGGGAGGAAACATACAAACTCATGTCCCTGATATTTTGTGATACAGGTTGATTTATTATAGGAGAATTACGTTGGATACTGTCAATTGTCTGTGGTATATCTAATACACACAATGTTTCGGGACCTTGACTCAACTCTCGACTTCAGGTGATTGTCATGACACATTATTGTTGTTGCTGTTGTTGTTGATAATTGTCGATCTCAAACCGGGTATCTTTCGAATGTTACGTTTGTACGCTAACAGCTAACATAATAACTTTAAAGAAAACTGTGTGCTCATTGTGCATAAATAGGCTATGTACATGACATAAAATGTTCCTCTCTTTACTATGTATACCAACATGTAAACGTAAGTTTTTTTTTTCCTATGCTTAATTATCTGCCATGCAATGACGAAGTAGGTACAACTCTACGCTTTCTTACGATCCCTACTAGACTGGAGCGAGAGGTCAGCTTCACGTCCGATCGCGTTTTCAATTAAACGAAATCTCCTCTTCCAAAAAGACAAAATGCTCAGCGGACTTTAGAGTCGGTTCAGACATGTTAGCAGATAAAAGAAAGTTCTAAGTGGCAGACCAACCAGTTATGTTCAAAATCAGCCCTTCGTTCCATTCAGAGACACACAAAATCCGAGAAGTCTGTCACGTGTCTCAATATCAATTTTAAAATATTTTAAAAGATCGACTTATAACCAGAATCGGATTGGACGGAAAGCAAATATTTTAACTTGCTCAAGAACCTAAGTGCCAGTAAGTGTTACAGAACTACAGAAGTAGATTTAATTATTGCACATGGTGGAAACGTAATTCTTTGATCATTTTTGTGTATTTAACAACATTAATCAGTGATCGACTCTTATTATTCCAAGTGGCAGTAAATAATTCACCAGAGAATCCCTGATTAATCATTTCACAAACCCACCGCGATCCCTCACCAGTACGTCAGCAACATCCCGACACTACGCTAGTGCGGCCACGAAGTCCGGCAAACTAGATCGCCTAGCTACACGTCCACATATAACCTTGGCCACGTAATCTACTTGTGAGCTTACCATGAGCATGAGATGAGGTTTGACCAAGGTTGGCCCCCAAGTCAGTGAAGTTGAAGGTGAAGGGATTGGATGCAACCATCAGAAGTCGCATTTTTACAAATCGTAATCCCAGATACCGAGAATCTATCAACGGCCTCACAATCTGAGAGACTCCACAAATCTACAAATTACAAACTTAGTTATTTACTCCATACAGCAGCATTTTAATCTTTACGTTTTTAGACAGCAGACGAGAAAACAAAAGGTTCTGAACTGAATGGCAGCAAGCATTACCCGAATGTAATCTGCTCTTAATTTCCTCATTAATAAAATTTTTGATTTATTACCGTCGCTCCCAATAACGTTTTCAAAGGATCCATTAGCTATTTTTATGTTACGATTTTACCCTGCATTCTAGTGACGAGACATCAACAACACTCAGTTTTGTCTGCGTCTATTTCTAGACTAACCTCCTCATTAGCATAAACTACAACTTCTGTGTTTTCTTTATAGATTTACATCATCAGCATAGACCAGAGGCTGATGTGCCCCATTCAATTTCAGCCTCAATTTTATTTTGACCGTCCTAATTGCGTATTCCTAAGTAAATTTGCGATGGTGACAACGCATCTCCTTGTTTTAGACCGTTTTGAATAGCAAACGTGTCAGACAAATGTTTAACTATACGGGCTTTACTATAGGTTTCGTTTAAACGCATTTTAATAAGGATTGCGTTAGTGGTAAGAAGGAAATAAGATTCGAATCAAGTGTTCTGAATCTTTAGAAACAGTGTTGAATAGACACTGAAAGCAACTTATTTTTGTTTAATTATTCCCTGCTGTGATAAAGTGCCCCCACGTAATGATACAAAAACAAATATTTAATGTATGTTAATAATTATTTATACAACACAGATAACGCAGAGGAACAGACATTGCACGTTCTACAAAAGCACGAAGAACAGTGGGTAACGCGCATAGCTTTCATAAGAGAGCTGTGTGCGTGAACATTTCTCCGAAGTTAGCCGATTGTGGAGCAGGAAGTTATTTCATCTGCCCATAAGTCACTGGTGAAAATTTTATAGAAGACATTATTTCTGAATAATGTTCCAGGATAAACCAGTTTAAAACAAAATATGTGCACGTGTGTGGTGATACGCAAATCGTGATGTTTCGACGTAAGAGGATATGTCCGAGGCCTCAAACTAGTATGAGACGACAAAACTTCATTTAACGTAGCTGTCAGAGGAAACGTCACTGAGAGAATGAAGTAGGCTAAGGACATCCATCATTTCAAGGGACCGAAGCTGTTAAAAAGAGGTCAATTATGTACGGAATTTCCAGACGAACGGAAATTTTAGGCAACCTTCACATGCTTTTGGAAACACCGTGGAAATTTAGTGAAAGTGTAATGCACAGAAACAAATAGTTAGATCCGACTGTTTAAAGTTATTTATGAAATGTAATCATGGTCTAAGCCTAAAAACAGAAAAAGTGCAATAATTTCCAGTCACACGCTTATAACAAAAATATGAGCTACTGACCAAGCTGTTAGAGGAAAACGTCCTTCTTAAAAAACCAGACGGTGACCATAACATTGATAAAAGTGGCCTCTAGCTAAACTTCATACCTGACACGGTTGTCGCAATTAAATGCATTTAGAACGTACACGTGGTCGCTTCCGCCAAAAATCGAAGACTGCTGCAATGCTGAAGGCAAATTTTTGCAGACATATTGTATCTTCAAAGGTGTGAATAAATGGCGGAACTTGAAGAAGGTAACAAACGTAACAGGGGATTTGTTTTTAGTTTACTTTGATGATATTTCAGGTCTACACTTGTTACATACAAGTTCTCCAACAAAGGCAACGATTGAAATGAAAAGCCCAAAGTACAGTAAACACAAGCTGCCTTCGATGTGTTGGTATTGAAGCTTTGTGGGGCCGTGGTCGTCGCTTAAACTTTTCCGACTCTGGCTAACTGCACGCTGCACCCCCATCGGCAAGAAGGCGCTCACCACCTGACAGTAAAGAAAGCCCTGTGCAGACACACAAACAATTTGACCGTCGTTTGATAAGCTTCTGATCGGTAAAGCACAAAGATTCACTTACCGATCCGGATGTAGTTGGGGAAGAACCCGGTTTTCGAATCATAGATGAGGGTACAGACATCGTAATTAATTATTTTAGTGATATTACTTTGAAAACATTCACACGCACTCTTTGTCTCAACTAATTCCACGCTACTGTTGGAAGATACAACATCCTTAAATAAATAATTATATACCTCCATCGAGCGTAGTTTTTCTCTGAAGCAAATGGACACGGAGCTGGTAAGTAAATACTCCAATTTTTATGTGCTGTGTTCACAAGAGATCGCTTCTGCACTATGGAGGAACAACTTCAACCTATATTTAATAGCTAATTGCAAAAGACTTTGTTCAGAAACTCCCATAAAACCTTACATATAACTGACTTTGTAAGTACAACCGTAATTAGACGATAAGGGTTGAAAATGGAGGCAGTATGATCCTCTGACACAGAAG